CAGAATAAATTACATCAAAAAAAATTTATGTAACACTGGCAAAAAAATATAATTCTACATATTTAAGGAATATAGTCAATAAATATAGGGTATAAAAATATAGTTAATAAATATAGGGTGTCCATGGAGATAACTAAGGGTATTAGAGTAATGCTGTTTTTTGCTATTTATGATTTATAATATATTATTACGTATGAACTTCAAACTCAGGATTTTGTTAATCATAATCAGTTTTTAATAAAAAAAAATAATTATTACACAATATTACAGTTAAATTCATGAACTTTTTACGATGACAAAACTATATGTGTCATTGCCTAAGTGAAAAACCTTCTCCAGTGTTTTCAACCCTGCCCAATATTTTTAAGACCAATTGCGATCAGCGATCAGCCCATGCCTTTAGCTTAGTTAGGAAGCATGAAAAATTGCTCAATTAGGCTAAAGTTTCTCAAACTTATAGTAATAAATCTATAGTAAAGTTATTTGTAATAAGACCTTTCAGATCGAAGGCCTTATAGCCATGTTCTTGAAATACATCAAGCTAATTGAGCAGTGAATAGAATATTTTCTTATTAGTCAAATGATATGTTGACTCACTGGAAAAAGGCTAAAAAATATCAGGCTGATTTAAGAAATAACGGAGATTTTTTTTTTATTTAGCCTGGTGCGTTGAAAAATGACAAGAGACTGCTTGAAAAGAGCCGGGTTATTAAATTAATGTGCAACAAAAAGAATCAGTGTTCCACCTCTGTCTTTGAAAATTTAAACTTCAAACTACAACAAATTTCTTCATGAAATCGCGAAAGTAATCTTGATTAATCGTATACAGATTCTCATAATTTAATAAATAGTGGGAATTACCCTATATATAACAAAATCACCATAGTAAACAAAGTCACATTACTTTAAAATAGTTATCCAGTTTCATTTAACGATATGATTCTGGTTACGCTGATAAGTTTTAAGTTAAATTTTAGTTAGCAAAAAATTTATCTGACTTAATCTGAATGAGAAAACTGACCATAGTTATCTGATCTGACTGATCTGTAAATTTAATTTGACTTAGTAATACTTTTTTTTTACTAATCTAATTAGAAGTTTCAATATTTCATAAAAATTGACTTAATAAAATATTTTGAGATGGAATGTTTCATTTTCTTGCATGAAGCATTTTTATACCCATTTTTAAATAAAAACATGATTGCGTAGCACTATTTTTATACATTTATTTTATTAATAAACATCACTTAGAATTATTAATAAATTGCATATTTTTCTTTTTCATCAACGAAAGTGTACGGCAATGAGATTAAATTTATGTTTAATTTTTAACATCAATATTAAATTTTGTTGAAATAAATAATAAAGATATTGATTTTACAATGAAAAATTAAATTTTCTGAACGAAAGTTATTTTCTTTTATAGACCTCTTGGTTTAGTTACTAAAATAAAAAACAGATGGCAGCACAATCTGAAATTAAAATCTATGAAGTTAAAAATAATTTGTATAAGTTTTCATTATAATTGGTTTATTAATTTAGGATGAATATAAAAATACAAATAAAAGTATGAAAACTGTGATATTTTTATCTATTTAAACTCTCTTAATGTATTTAAACCCTAGCTAGATTTTGACTTCAAAACAATAAAAAATTCCCAAGTTTTTATTCTGAAAACTTTCATTTTCATTTTAAAATTTAGAATTAAACAAAAATATTAAAAAGTTAAAAAATTCATTCCATTCAGTTCCATTCCTTAAATATATCATCTACTATCTGTCACGTAAATAAATTTTTTGTGAAAAATTTTGCTTTTATGTACCAATGTTTTTTATTTTATTTTTTTAACTTAATAAGATATAATTTTTAACTAGTTAAACATGTTAAGTTTTTGAAAATAAGTTTGTATGTGATGAATTATAATTATTTATTAAAACCAAACCATTAGAAATTATGAAAATATTTTATTATTTGAAAAGTGAATACAGCAAACTATAGATCAAATAATCAGATTTGTTATAATTTTGATTAAAATTATAACTTAATGCTAGTAGACATGCACAAAGTATTCCTAAGTGACACTTATGCTTAAAAAAACATCAAATATTTACAAAGACTTATTATCACATCAATCTTCCTTTTTCTTCCTGAAATTAAAATTAATAATAATATTTAGTACAACCATGAAAATTTATATGAAAGAAATCAAGATTTATATAGTGCAAAACAAATTAGAGAAAATAGAAGAAATGCATAAATTTATTATTTATTCAGCTCCTCTAATTACAAAACAATATTTCATTCAATAATTTATTATTTTGTGCGTATGCCTTTGAAAGAATTTTGTTGAAAAATCAATGTACAGTATTTCGTAGGATTATAAAATCGGTTATTCTTCCTTTTTGTTTTTTTTGGAGTGATGCGTATAAAAAAACGTATAAATTTTTTAATAATTTTTTACATATACTTTTTTCTATCTTTTATTATTACATGACTTTGAGACAGTTAGAAACGCAAACGAAAATATTTATGACATCAATTAACTTTAGAAGATTAGCTAAGAGAAAATTTCTTGTTTCATAAAAAATTTTAAAAAATATCGTAAACAAATAGATCTTTGTAAAAGAACTCAAAAATTTATAGCAATAGACTAAAATATTGTGCAAGATATATTGTTTTATATGAATTTTTAAAAAAAACTTTTTCTCTCGAATTTTATGAAAATAAAAGATATGTAAGTTGTAATTTGCATACATCAGCTGTTATATGTTCTATTTTATACATTATAAACAGTTCAATCAGCAATTTGTTTTTGTCCTTTATAAATTTTACTCTCTTAACTCTATACAGAATGGTTCCATTTTTTAAAATATAATATTAAATAATAAAAAAATCAAATAATTATGAAATATGTAATATATTTCCGATTTACAAAATTCTAGAGTTCGTATCTTAAAAGTTTAATAGTACATCAATTTATGAAGAAATTAGTTACCATAACAAGATTCCTTATCATATAACAAAAAACTTTTAAAATAACGAAACTGAAGCTGAAATTGAATGATCGTGCATTTTATAGTAATAATTGAACATCGGACATTTCATAAATTAAATAAATAGTTCTTTATCATTTATTTTAAATCTTGACACACATTGAAACATAAAAAAGGTTTCAGATTAAAAATCTTTTTAATTAAAATCTTGTTTCAGAGTAATGTTCTATAAAATTAAAACAATTTCTTTGATATTTGCACTTTACAATTGGCATAAAAAAATTTTTTTGAATAATTTGCTCGAAATTTTCTTTAAAAATTTCCTTCAAAAGTATAAAAAATTTTAAGATATCTCTTGAACACATGTCAATTTATAATTTAGCATAAAATTAAATAATACTTCTGTTTGAATGATATTTAACAGATAATTCTTACTTTACAGTTGTAATCCATAAACATAGTTTTTAGAAAAGTGTCTGCAACATTGCCATGCACCATTTTCGCCCTTGCAGCAATCATCATTCTGGGCACACCAGACACTTCCTCCGCATTGCTTCAGACCAAATTTAGCTCCAACAACAGGCCTCTCCTGTTGGGTATTATTCTTTTTGTTGCACCTTTGGTGGTCCAAATCACACTCGTAGCCGTGAGGACAGCAATGAACAAGATCTGAGCAACAAACACCCATAGGTAGTGGACAACATAGATCGAACAAGATTGTCGTGCCGCATAATTTCATGCCAGGTGGACACTTAGCATCCACTATGCCAACAATTAAGAAGCTGAATAGCATCAATGACAGTATTTTTTCCTTTAAAAAAAGAGAGAATTGGGTTCAAGCAAAGGTCTTAGAATAATATTTTCACATGGGTCTTCAAAGCTCTTTCACCACAGAAAATAAACAAAGACACAGTTTAAATACCTTACTCTTGAAAAAAACAATGCCATAATTCTGAACTATAAATGGCGTGAAAAATTATCGTGACTTGATAGAAGAAGAAAAATTACTAACTTTTTTTAAAAAAATCACTAATTTAGAGAGATTTTTCCATCTAGATGAAAACTATCACAGCCTTACGATCATTATTTTTATTCTCTATTTAAAATCACTGCCTAATTCTTATTTTTTTGAAAATTTTTATGACTATTATAATGCAGCATTAGAGTAAGTTTTTAAATATTAAAAGATTGGACCACAAATGCTTTTCAGTTTGTCACAAATGTAGTTCTCTCCATATTGGCGCTTTGCCGCATTTTCAGAACAAACTTAGAGGGCTAAAGATAGGCTAAACTTGACCTAACCGTCGTGAGTAACTGCTGCAAACTCACAGCAGTTATGAAAATAGCATGTTATTTACAATAATCTTTTCATGAGACTACCGAGCTTTCGAGAAGCAGCCTCAACTTTATAATCAATGAACATATAACTAAAACTAAAATAATTAGGGGTTTATTTAAATAATTTATTCAATTGTTGAATTTGGTGCCCAAATTAGCATGTTTATCCTTTCAGGAAATTATTAGTAGGAGTAATAAAAACAATTTTTCACTAGGCATTTGGATTTGGCTATCGTCCAAATTCGAACTTATTTTGACTCATTAATTTATAGGGAAAAAAATCTGTACTAATTTAAGGGTTAAGTGGCATTTTATTATGAAAGTATAAACAGCTTAATTTGTTAAGTTTTTCTAATGTAATGTATTTTATATTGATATAAAAATGTAAAAATTCGTTCTAATAGCATAAATCAGTAAAAAAATGGATCAACTTTTATTATATGTCCTCATACACTTTGAAAGACTTTTGGATGCATTGCAAAAGGATCGAGGATTTTAAACATAGAAAATTTATTATTAAATTGCAATTTTTTTCTTGGATTCCCCCTTCTCTGTGATTATGGGCCTTACTCCTCCTCTAACTTTAGATGATTCCAAAAACTAGGTGTGATGTGGGAACTCTAATGCGTGATATCAAAATGTAGGTAATGTGTGATGTGTAATCTCTCAAACTAATATTTAAAGTTCATTTTTTTCATAATGTTGAATAATTCTCTTAATACGAGTAATAATTTTATTTTTTAAAATAGTATCACAGTGGATTAAACTTATGCAATTAAATATTATTAAAACAATTTTGAATAAAATTCACGGAATGTTGCTATGAGTTTTAACTTTCTTATCTCGACTCTAATTAGTAAGTTTTGTGTGATCTTTAAATGTATTATGTGTGTATGCTGCGATGTGTGATCTCTAAAAATGATATTTAAAGCTCATCTCTTTTCAATAATGTTGAATAATTTCTTATTAATAGTTTTACGTTTTAAAATAGAATTACAGTAGATTATATTTATATTGACAAAAAAATGTTCGCAAAAATTTAGAGTAAAACTCTCGGAATATTGCTATCAGTTTTAACTTTTTTATCTTGATTGTAATAAGTAAGTTTTTTGAGTAGTATTTGAATAGACCTTATTTACATCACTTACCTATCTTAAAACTGACTTGTTATAGATTGTGATAGTAATATTTATAGTCGACTATTTTTAGATCTCCAATCTTTTTGATCCAATTTTTTTAATCTCTTCCACGATTTTGTGTGTTTTAATTAACTATTCCATCCAAAAAGAATTTTTAAAAAATTATGTCATTAAATTTTCTTTGATTTATTTATTTTATTTTGTGTACTACATATTTAAACCGAGTAGATTGATTCATAATTTTCGAGATACGGCAAGATACGATAGCTTAAATTGGATATTGTTAATTTTAAAATAGGATAAAAACTATCAAACTTGTATTATTTTTTTCTCTTTAAACTTATTACAAATATTTTTGGGTTAAAACAATTTTTATTCTACTTAAATACATCAAAAACTGTAATCTGCAGTTAACTAAGTTAAAATTAAAATGTAATTAAATATTATTAAAAAAACCATCTAACATAACGTAAAAAAAAACAAAATATTACAAAAATCATCGTTTTTTTCCTTTAAACTTCAACTTATGGAAAGAAAACAATTAGAGAAATCACCCGTTATTTTCTTGCAAAAAGGCCCAGAATCAAAGAAAAAAAAAAAAAAAAAAAAAA